ATACAAGGTAGGATCAAAAAGTAGTAGGACTGAATTTTTGTAGCGTGAACGGAGCGGTGGAGGGTGGTCGGACCACCTGGGTGTGGTAGTGGGGAGCCTCCCGAAGAGACTGATATTTTTCCCGGTCGCCTACGGGCAAGCAGAGAGTAAGTACGTCGATTTTCGTGAACCTCTGTTAAGAAGTGACGTCGCGATCCAAGATGGAGAAAAATCTCGAGCAACGCTACGCCATCAAATTCTGCGTCAAACTCGGGAAAACCGCGACGGAGACCCTCGGAATGATTAAGGATGCTGTCATGAGCCGCTCAACAGTGTTCGAGTGGCATAAGCTGTTCCGGGAGGGGCGGGAGCTCGTCGGAGACGACCAGCGCGTCGGTCGCCCGTCAACTTCAAGGATTGATGAAAATGTGGCCAAAGTGAAGGCGCTCCTGGACTCCAACCGGCGCACAAACATTCTTCTGATTGTCGATGAGTTAGGGATTTCGTACGGTAGCGTCCAAAAAATTATTACCGAGGATTTGGCCATGCGAAAGGTGTGTGCCAAGTTTGTGCCAAGAGTCCTGAGTGCTGGTGAGGGAGTTTCTGACCAAGCACAGGGTTGTCACGTTGCCTCACCCCCTCTACAGTCCAGTTCTGGCACCGCCGGACTTCTTCCTCTTTCCTCGGCTCAAGCGGGACCTTAAGGGAAACCGATACAGCTCCGTAGAAGACGTCCAAGGGGCCGTGACGGCATCTCTGAAGGGTATCCCGGAAAGCGAGTTCCAGAAAGCGTACGCGCAGTGGGAATCGCGTTATATGCGTTGTGTCGAAGCACAAGGGTGCTATTTCGAGGACTACTAAGGATTTGTACCGATCAGTTCAATAAAAAAATTTAAATTAATTCAGTCCTACTACTTTTTGATCCTACCCTGTATACCTACACACGCGCGCATGCATGCATGCACATACGTATGTGCTATATACACGCATACTTGCGCGTGTATACGAACACGCTCATGCATATACATACATATATGCATATGCATATAGGGAAAACCGGAGCAAAATGGCTACAGGAGTAAGTTAACACATTGCTTATAGTTCGGGTATTTTCTAACAAATTTCAACATCAAACAAGTTGGAAATGCAAAACTATCTTTGACACATACAATGTAAGTTGCATTTTATTATGAGCAATATTTATGAAATAATAGCGTTGAATTACATTTCTAGTAGTGCACACACACAAGTAATTCTCATAATCTCATAAATTCATTTATTAATAACAGTAAAATTTTATATTAGTTGCTATTGAAGTTAGAAAAAATATTGTATATAATTGATTACACTTTAACGAATTTTTAAATATATAAATAAATAATAAATATATAATATATAAATAATTTATATAT